AAAAAATGTTATCTCTGCTTTATTTTTTCCATGTTTTTGTAGCTACCTTCAATCTAACAGCAGCAAAGATTTCCAACGTTGCATCATTGACATGATGGAAGATACTGAGATAGTTTCTACCATGTTGCTGCCAGGTCTGTAACTTTGCATTAAAATTATTGTTTGTAAAAACATGTTAAATATGATGTGAAGTAGCAGAATATTTTAGTAGTACAGCACTATTTCCAATTTCCAGATTTGCTCTATTGTACTATTTACTCAACTATAAATCCCCCTGAAAATAATATACAATTGAATACATTCTAATGGGATTTAACCATTTTAACAATATTTGACCTCCATAATTTATCAAAAATACAGATCTAACAAAATAATACAAGTGAGTTAAATACTTAATGAATGGAAAAAGAGCCTAAATTAAATGGTAGAAGCTGTGTTTAAAATAAGGGCATAATTTGATATTTTGAAGAAGAGCTTCATTTGCCATATTTTTTTCAAATTTTGGTTTCAAATACCAATGACAGCTAATTCTATCGATAATGACATTCTTTGAATGACCTTTTCTGATTTTTTTTTTTTTTTTTGAATAGCATCTAAAAGTTAAAAGTGCATTCAAAAATATTTGTGGAACACCTAAGTTCCCACATTCAGTAAACTTCACTAGACTAATGCTAATAGAGTCTGAGACATAAAAGTAAAGTTAACTTTTTTAATTTGGATGCAAATTAACTTTTCATCTAATAAAACCACTGGAGTCTCTTTGAATGCATGGATGAACACAAAAGGGATTGTGGTTATTTTGAGTTTACCGTTTGCAGATATACCCATATGGTACCTCGTATGAATACAAAATGGAATACTTTCACTTTTCCTCTTTTAATTACACTCTCCAGTATAAACAGATTGCCAAGGGTGACTTTAAAACATGAACTAGTCCTAAAACCCCCGATGGCAGTCTTTCTTCAGTGTTGGTGGCAATTCCATGTGGATCATTGGTATGCTATTTGTGACTCAAAAGTCCAGTGCTTTCGTGTTAGTTTCTTTTAAAGTCTTCGCACACCAGACTTCTCTCCAGTTTGAAGGGGCAGGGAGCCAGAAGCTCTGTCTTCATTAACAGCTAATTTGCTCATTACTTCTAAGATCAGTCACATTTCTGATGCTTTTAGAGCTTTTTGCCACCATGCACAGGGGTGTTTTTTTCTGCTGCGCGTCCAACAGTAGCTCCATTTAAGTGAATTCTTAAAAAAACTGCTGCCCATATAACAAAAAATGTCCAAATATTGATATTCCTTCCAATTATACAAATCTATGCACAGACCATATGAGAAACTTAGAAGAACACTAGGAAAACAGACCCTATAAAAACAGAACTAGCGTCAAGCCCAGAAAGAGTAGTTGGATCTTTTTAGATCCTGTTAATATAAATTTTTTCTATGACTCCTTATGGGAAACAGTGACTGTAAAAGTTGGCAGACACTTAAAGATTTGTAAAGGAAAAGTAGATTAGCATCTAATACAGTCTTTCAGCACTTTGGATTACTATTTCTAATCATTTCTAATCCATTGGGAACCACAGGTCTTTGTATAATCTAGAAGAGCTGCAGAAATGCATGGCTCAGATATTTACGCCACAACTCTTCATTTACTCCATACATCTGATTTCTAACAGTGCATATGATTAACTTTAAACTGGGAAGAGGGAGGGATGTAACCTCTGGATTTTGCATAATGGTTTTCTTTTTTTTTGTGGATACTCATATTCTCCATTGTTCTCATGGTCACTGGTATAATCATAACAATGCCAAAATGTTGGTGTACATTAGGGGTGGGTATTGGCAAATAAGTCATGATTCGATTCGAATCA